TGACGTACTGAATTCCTCGCAGTTCGCGTTCCAAGTTATCGAAATAGAATCTAGTATGCAGAGGACGACGTTGGTTCAGATGTCCTTGCAGCTTTTTGTGCCCTATAATCGTTTTGCCTTACTGCCAGAACTACATCTTTGCGAGTCACTTGGAGCAGTTCTGCTTGGAGAATCACATTAACATTGTCTCGACTACCGTGCTATGAATACTCGATGTTCGCGATCCTCGACATATCCTATTTCTGAGCGATTTGGGCGAAGGCGCGCAGCGCCTCCCGGTCCCGAGTTGCCGTGTCCTGCCAGATAAAAGGTGAGCTGCGGTTCCCAAATGTCTAGGAGTTCGACGACGCATCGAGGCGAACCGAAGATACCCATAGAACTAGGAGGAGGATGGATGCTTACATGAAGAACCCGTCACCGAATGCGGGGCATTGTGTGCCGCAGGAATTCATCTTGAATGGCAGGCGTTGCTTGAAGGTATGGTGCGAGAATCTGAGCGTGATCTCGAAGATAGATCTGGAAGGCATCACTGGCCCATCTTCCCATCGTCTTGACGACTTCGAATGGGATGTTTCGGAGGAGGTATTCCAAGGTGGCGCCTATTCTGATAGCGTGGCCTTGCAACGGGTCAAGGCCAGCATCCTTTGCAGCGCGAGCGAGCCGTTGTGATGAACTTCGTTTTTGTCAAAGGACGGTGTGCCTCGCCGAACTTATAGGAAAAGAGTGCGATATCGAAGTGGGGGTTGTTGATGTTGAGATGGTTGGATAATGCTGCCTCAGGATCAGTAGGGCCCTCTTGTTTCGCCCAGAAAACATCCTCCCCATTTTGCGATGTTTTCGTGCGGGGCAAATGAAAAACTGTAGTCGCGAGGCCCATTGCGGTCTGTTTCATGGCGAATGTCGGATCGTTTGACATGAATGGAGGGATCGAATGATGAAAGGGTTCAGACCGTGAATTCTCCAGCTCTGGCCATTGAATAAAAGGCTGTTGTGAGACAGCTACCCACTGCGGCATCGAGAGGGTTGTTGGGGTCTAGTTTCTGCAAGATGCTAGTTATGAAAGCCACAGTGTAAGGTGGTCTTTTCTTCCTTCTTGATGACGAGGGCGTGTGGTTCTTGGCTGCTCTTAGCATGGCATCTATTTTGTCGTCATCTAAGGACCATGATTTTCCATGTAGATGTGCCATGCACGAATACCGTGGACATAACTCGATATAGTTTTCCCTGAATATGATCCGGCTAAGTCTGAAATAAAAGCTGAAATGAGTTCAGAAGACGCTGGTGCACGCATGGCTTCGTTGATGGAATTTGAGTCACAGTATACATGGTAGGCAAGGATGCCACTTCCATATGCCCTCCTGGGTGCTGCCGGCCCATGCGTGGATCATGACATCTTGAATGCGCTGTGCATCGGCGTGAGGAAGGGAAGATAATGATTCGTCATCAGTGGCTGGTCGCCATAGACGGAGCCTGTCCTTAGCTGCACAATGGGGTCTTAGGACGGAAACCCGAGGGCTGAGATTAGCAGGATAAGCCGCAATAAGCCTTGCGGTCGCTTTAAAGAGCTCTTCTCCTTGGCGACGGAGCTCGTCGTTGAGGTGCTCAGCTGATTCTCGCGAGCGGGCTCGGTCATTGACATGTGGGAGCGCTTTGACGTTCTTGCTGCATGCATGGCACTCAGAAGGGATAGCGGGATCGTCGAAGTTTGTGATGAAGGGTTGGAGTGGCTGGGGAATGCTAATTGGGGGAAGCATAGGTCTGAGGGAGGGTAGATTCCCCTGGACGGAGCGTCTGCTGGGTTGTAGTTACTGGGTACATAGCGCGTGAGGAAAGTGCATTGTGCGGATGCAGTGAGCTCATGGATCCTTTTGAAGACAGTATTGGTGGCTCTGTTGCGGCTACGCCCTTTCCACCACCCTTCGACAACTCCTCGATTGTCCCCGAATATTTTAATGCAGCTGCCCGTTGGGCATGAACCGAGGAGTGCATAATGAGGAATTCCATACCGACAGCCTCTGCCCAGCCAATGTCTCTGTCCTCGGCTTTCCAGCCTGGGAGGGAGACATCAGCAAACCCAGGGTCCTCTGTACAACCCTGGACAGTGCTGGACAGAGCCACAGAGCCCACAGAGAGGGTTCTCTCTGTGCAGCTCTGTACAGAGTCGTACAGTGTAATGTATGATACTGTACAGAGCTGCACAGAGCGGTACAGAGTGTTAGCTACACTGAGCAAAACAATACAGAGCATTGGGTAGGCCAGACAGGAATACTGCAGAATGCTCACAGCATCACTACAGAAAGTGCACAGTAATTGAAACCAAACAAATCATGATGTCATTGTGTCATACTACAATCAGGTATCCTACAAAATGCTAAAAACACGATCAGTCCAGTTGGAGTTTCAAGCCCAGTCATGGCGCCTGTTTGGATCATCGCGAGTCAGGATTTTGCATAGCCGTCAGAAATGATACAAATGATAAAAAAAGCTTCACAATACCCTGCAGTACGAGCCCATTTCTTTCTGGCGGCCCGGCATTTCTTTGCATGATAGTGGTCCTTCTGCACATCATGGTAGAGCTGAATGACGCTGTTGTAGATGGGTTGATATAAATCGGCGACGAATTTCATTTGCTTGTAAGTACCGGTCTTGTACTCGTCGATAGCGGCAGCAAGCTAGTTAGAGGGGAGCTTGAGGATGAACACCATTAATGAGGTCGCGCGCGCAAGCAAAGTAGTCCTTGACAAAATGCTGGACAAGACCACCCTCGTTGTCTTCGTCCCTTTCGTGGTCCTCCTGTGCACGCATCTGGAGTGCGAGGTCAAAACGCTCCACCTTATCACGACGATCGAGGTGGCGACACACTTGCGCGTCGTAGTCGTGATTGTTCCCTGCCCTCGCTGGCTCCTTCACAACCTTGATGTGCGCATGTTCAGTGGGGTCTGCAGACCACTGCATGACAGCGCCGTGTGAACAAATACTGGGCACTACCCCCTGCAGCAGCTCGAGCTTTGGAATCGCCCATGGCTTATCCCCACCCCCTTTCCCCCGCCGAGCACCAGCGTCAACGATAGACTGTTTGAACCGATGAAAGACTTTAAGACAGCGGTCTAAATCTACCACTTGCTTGTCGGTGAAATGCGGGGCTTGAGCGAGGTATCTAAACTCCATGAGGGCCCGAATAGCAGATATGAAGTCGGCAGGGGCAGCACCAGCAATCACGCCAACGATATACCGTTGAACGTTGCGATGGTCTCGCCCGGTGGCTTGCTTCAAAGCGGAGATTCCCTCCTTGAATGCACGGTAACCAGTGCACACCTGGAGGAGCGCAAAACGAAAATCAATTTCCTGCGAGCCAACCACTGTTGTGCACCAGAGACGATCATGGTCCCAGAACATTTTATGGAGATGGTGAAGTAGTTCTGGAGTGAGGAAGGAGGAAGGATTTGCGGTAAGCCAATTCCTCCAGAATGGCAAGTCAACACCGTTTAGATTGTAGCGTTTGCATGCCTCGAAGAACGGGATGAGATCGGAAGGTGAGATAGATGTTATAATCGCTGCAATGTTGGCAAGGGTTGATGATCCATCACGAGGAGGGTGTCGGATTGGGTCTCCAAAGTCTTCACGGGTAGCCATAGTGACAGGCGATGAGTTCATAGTGGCGCATGCAATTACAAGTTCCTCTGGAGTATCTGCGACATAAGCAACGAGGGGGGTGAAGCAATACCTGCTAAAACCCCGTGGAATCACTCAATCATAACGCCAAGACGGGCAGCCTGCTTCATCATGGCTCAACAACGAGGTCGATACATTGGGTGAAGTAAACGGTCTGCGAGAACCCCATGCATGCGCTTGTTCCTGTGCAAGAACTTTGCAACAGGAAGCAAAGCAAGTGGGATATATGCATGTAAGGAGCCTTTGGCACGCACTCCAGGATCAATATTGGCGAGACTAACAAGAAGTGGATGCGCGTAACGGTTGCCAGCGATGTTGCTGACCTTGGTCTTGTCCGAGGAGAGGACTACACCAAGGAGGGATGCACCTTCAGGTAGGTCTTTCTGTGGTCTTGTTAGTTATACAGAACGAGGAATCAAGACACGAGACCTTACCTGACAGGTTCCAAGCATGATCGCCTGTCATGAAACCATGATAAACTCGAACCGCATGTTCGGCAGACTCGTAAACCTTGCATGGGATGAAATCAAAGCTGGCGGCCAACAGTGGGTGACTGAGAAGTGACTGCAAGCACTCGATTGCGTCCCGATAAAATATTTGAAGGGTTTTGTCGTTGGAAACTCGGTAGTGATTTTTTGATACTTCCATTGAGGGGGAGCTGGGAGCAATTCAACACGTCCTCGGAGTTCTCGCGAAGAGCGAAATGACAACGGGAGTGTTTTTGGTCTGAACATAAGTTTAGACGAAGAAATTTAGAGGATAGATGAACTCACAAATTCAAGATTGAGGTACTCGTCGATTTCGGCCATGCTAAGATCGGACCGAAGAATATACGATGCCATCTCCCAGTCCGGTTTGCTAGCGAAAGGAAAGTATTGGTTTTGCTCCCTCTCTGTAGCATATTCATCCTCGTTGAATTGGGTCCATGAAAATCTTCCCAACACCCCACGTCTTGCCTGCACCGTCATAAAACTCCACTTCTTCACACCGTAATCTGCCTGCGAGCCTGAAGACCCATACTCCGCTCCAGTGTCTGCATCAACTCCATGGTCCATATACTCCGGGTCAAAGGTCGGGTCCGTGTCGTTGTGGAGAGGAAAATTGAGGACTTGGAGCTTGTGCTGGTCTTAAGATGCGAACTAGGTTACCATCCCACTTGTAACAGTGAGAAGAAGGCTGATTCAGGTGTTGCAGAAAGCGTCCCTCATTCTTAAAACGCTTGCTGCAGGAGGGGCAGCACATATCGAAGGTGCGAAGTAAGTCATTGAACTCATTTGGATTCAATATTGTCCCGGCAATTTTCCGGGACGACGCAAACTGTAACTACAATGTCGAAGTGTCGTTCAAGCTATGCCTCACCATCTCAATCATCTCAATCCCCGTATTCGCTATGTCGAGGCCAACAAATCTCAGATTCTGTAACTCCTTCCGACATCTCAGATGATACATCTGACTCCTCGGAAGTGTATAATATGGTGAGTTATGGGCTGGATTCTAACACTTGCCTTGAATCAGTTTTATCTACAGTACATACGCCGCTACCCAAATGAACCATTTGACGCTTACATGGACTCAATGCCGGAGACTTCAGAGGAAGCATCTTACCTGCTCGAGATGGCACAAGCTGATCTCGAAGTTCGACGTCTCGAGAAGGACCTTGCTGAGCGGCTTCTTCATCAATTTCGCATGCGCAAACACCACCTACGACTTCGAGCGAAGAGGGCAAAGAGAAATTTTGGAGATGCGGAAGCTAATGTAGGGCGCACACGCGCTCTCGTGGTGAGGTGCGGGTTTGTCTGCTCAGAGCGGTCACTTTGGTCTCCTCGTCCAAAATCCACCATCAAGTCATGTAAGCGAATTCGTTCTTAAAATCGGTATGCAGTCGCTGATGAGTACAGCTGATTAGAATATCTGTCTGTTGGATGTTGCATTGTGACCATAGCCTTGTACTGTGTACATGATTGTCAATACATATACGCATTGCACATTTTATATTTTAGCTATCTGTTGAAGTACTTTATTAAATGAATATAAGTTGTCACGCTGTGAAATGCATTCTCCGAGATCTCGTGTTTGATGAAGACCAGCAAGATATTGATATTAATCTATAATTTACATCACATTTATCGCCTGACCCTGTGCACTGTGCGAGACTGTGCCGCACTGTCACTCTGTGCGCTCTGTGCGCTGTACCACTGTGGGGCTGTGCTAGTTGTGTCGCTGTGGGAATCTTGTATCCAAAACCGGTAGTTTGCTGATGTATCTTATCACTGTCGTCGAAGGCCAGCCTGTCCTCCTCAAGAACCCAAACGTAACTCAGTGTGTGGATCTCGATAGCTGTATCCGAAGCATCAGCGACTCCCCACCTAACCTCTGCTCTCACTTGGCTGCCGACTGTGCTGCAGTCCGTGAGGAGCTGCATCAGCACCATAACGTTTTGCCTGCACCCAACGAAGTCGTCTTTCATGCTCATTCGCATTCACATTCTCAGCTGCATTACGCTCAGGACAATGTCAAGATGGGCAACTTGCCATCTGAGTTGGAGGTCGAGGCCCTGTTGCTATCAAAGGGCAAGGGTAAAGCCAAACCTCCATTGGAAACTTCGCCTAGTCCTCCTCCTGCTGAACCTCGTTCCAGACAGCCCTCCTTATCATATTCAGCATATTCAATTCCATCTTTTGGGACACCGTCTCCGCTTCCCAACCTTTCAAACGAAATGTCCGCCATCGCAGTCCATGTAGTCCCACAACCAGTGTGGACTCTAGCCCACCCCCACCTCGTACTCGTCGTAAACCACTCGAACAGGCCACTGCACGCCCTTCAGTAGGTTCATCGACGGCTCATGCAGCCATATCTGGAGGCACGCTCTCTGATCCGATTGACGTGGACAATGATGTCAAGGTCTGGCCAGGTGATTTCTACGCATGTGATATTGCCAAGGGCTTCAGACTCTGCGAGACAATCAGCAAGTGTCGCTAAGGTGTTGGTGCGGTGTTCCAGAAGATGTTTGGGGTCCCTTACGCTAGCACAACATATCACACTCACAAGAAGCGTTGGGCGGATGCGCCCGCCAATGTTACAGATAAGTTCATCAAGGCTGGGCGAACAGAAGATGGTCTATGGTCAAAGTTCATGGCAGAGACCCGGTCCTGAGTTCCTTGAGCATCTCATTGTCTTCATCTTGTGTCTCTAGAGGTCCATCTCATGTCATGTTGTCTCTGTACGTCTCGTCTCGCATTTGTTTGTCTTAGTTCGTCTTGCATAGTTTGTCTCACATAATTTGTCTCGCACCTCTGTATTATTTCATCTCGTACCTCTTTGTCTGAGCTCATCTCATGTCAATTAAATCGCATGTCTCCCGCATCTCCTGTATGACTCACATGGACAACCCGCTAGACTCAGTACCTTCCTCTTTCTCATCAATTGTTGTTGTTGTTGTTGTTGTTGTTGTTGTTGTTGTCTAGCTCCAGCGCGTCCGCATCTGCAGACCACCAGGTTCGCTGAACAAAACTTGTCTGCTACTCTTGATTAAGGTATGTCAATTGTCTCATGTACTACTTGCTACTTACAGGGACTGTAGGTGTATTGCCTATCAGTGAGCCTTCCAAGTGCAACGACCAGGATCCAAGATGCCAAGTAACGACCATAAACTACCAAGTGCCTGCTCACAAGGTAAGTAACACGACAATACACTTGAAACTTACAAATTGACCTCATGGATATGATTTACAGGACCCTCTCTCGCTGTGCGATTCTATTTAATTGCGTTCAATGGATTATCTGCAGCAGGATGGGCCTATGTCATTTACCATCCATATGTTCCCGCAACATACAAATCAAACCATTTCTCTACCACTCTCGCATATTTCTTACATCCATATGTTCCTGCAACATACAAATCCACGTTTCTCCGCCCTTGCACCTGTGCAGTCACTCGCCGCCCTTGAAGTCTTGCATGTTCTCCTTGGGTTTGTGCGCTCCCCGTTCCCGACAACTGTCGTCCAGGTCTCCTCGCGCCTTGTCCTGGTCTGGGGAATCGTCGAGCGCTTTCCCCAAAAGTCAGGTATACCAATCCTAGTCTCCACTCGTTCTTGGTGCCCATCATTTGTGGCCAAGAGCGATGGCGGTGGAGCAACAGCTGGTGGTGGTGGAACTTCACACATGGCCTTGTACAAAGCATCATATATGAACCCAGCCTGCTCTTTGGTAAATCTTTCGAGCATCTTCAAGTTTCTGATTGCCGAGCGCTTAGAGAAGGACTCAATGCTGTTGACGATTTTGTTTCTGTGCTTTCTACGTTTGGAGAGAATGGTCTCGTTGGAAATCACAGCAAACTCCTGGAACGAGATGAGAAGTAGCTCTTGGAAGCGTGTTATCGCCCTTGTTCGAGGATCTGCAGACTCTGGATGCGCAGAGTCACCAAGCGAGGCGAAGTATTCGCGCATCAAGCTAATCATAGTGAGTATAGGCCGTCAAGGGTTGGTATTCACCCACCTTAAGAATCCCCCATCGTCTTGAATTTGCATGGTGTCAATTTGGGTGCCTGGTGAGTTGTGCATGTCATTTTGCATTTGGTCGCTGACTCCTGGTTCTCGCAGGGCTGTGGGTCATGTATTCACATATGATGCGCATGCGCCACAAGGTGCTTGGCGTCGGTAAGGGCCAGAAGTTGGGAGCAAAACCCAAAGACAGGCTTAAGGCGGAGTGAGAGGTGCCATGAACACAAAATATTGCTGACTATTTGCAATACCCTAGAACCATTTATACACCATAATTCACAACAGGTACTACTACATGTCCGAGGTCCAAACTGCGGGTTTCTTGCCAGTCTTCTCTAATCTTTTCAAGGTCTCCTGATTCCTGCATAAGATCATCTCGTCGAGGAAGAAATCAAACTTCACTGGCTTCATGCCTCGCGTGATAGGATTGAATTTACCGAACCACGAATTGACCTGTTCACAAGCCGAAGAGTTGAAGTACCACTCCCCATCATCTGTCTTCAGCTCTGGAAATGCAGCAGGGTTACAGTTCTCTTGGCAGAATGTGTCTTGCTTTGAATGTTTGCACTCGAAGTGGAAGACATCGACAGAAAGGCCGATATCTTGAAAGAATGGATCGTTCTGAACGTGCAGCGCGAGTCGGCAGTTGTTATCAAAGAACACGTGTGTTGGGCGTGTCTCTGGGTCCCGGAAGACACGGTGAATAAATTCAGCAACACTTCCTACTCCCTTGGCATTGTGCATGGTCTCACGAGCATGAATCATTCCACAAGGTGTGACAATCAACTCCTCACAATGAGTATAGTTGTGGGTGAACTGCGCACGAAGCCTCTTCTTCTTTCCCAATTTCACGTCATACTCCTCCTCTCCGATAGCTTGTGTTCCGTCATCGTCGTCTGCATCATCATCAGCTCCAACCTGGACATTTGCAAGACGCCTGTGGATAGCCCGTGAACGCTCGAGGCATTCATGCAGACGGAATCAAGACTTGCCCCGCAGAGTGTGCAGTGCTTCAGACTCCTGGTGTGCGCGGATGTCGCACGTAAGGCTACCTGACATGACAGATCGTGCACAGCCCTTGATTGCACATTGATTGAGGCGGGAAGAGTGGGTAGGACAAAAATGGTCTTGTGGGGTACGGAGATGGACCCAGCAGTTGGGGATAGAGCAGCATGGACGGCTCACAACAACGCCATCCACCACAACGACAGAAACCAGTTTGTTGGCTGTAAAAACGTGAGCGCAGAACAACACCACAGGACGCATATATACCAGTATCACCATGATTGTAAATCCGGGTACACTTAACACAAAAGTGCCGACGAGCAAGTGGTTGGTTATAGATCCGCATGCGTCGGTTCCTGTCTGACATTGCCTCGACAAAGCGCTCGTTCTGGTTGATGGTCTGACCGATATTGAGGACACAATGGCGTTCACAGCAATCTTCAAGGAGTGTGCAAATGATGAAGGCGTTCCAAACATGGTCCATTGTTACATCCTTGGCGAACCATTTTGTGCCCGGGAACTGCGTGGACTCTGCATTTGCAAGTGCAATGTTATATATGTGTGTGCAGTTGGTTGCTGATGTGCTGAGTGTATGGTCAGCAGGGGCAGATTCAGAATACGAAGATACTACATACCAGGAAGCGTGCATCATGGCCTTCCATAACCTCACTATTCGATAGTCAACGAAGTAGTGATCCGCAATCTGCACAATGTCTGGCAGTGCAGTGATGTAATCATAGTAAATGCGTCGGTCACCAACGACCTTATAGTTCGTGTGATAAGTTGTCTTGCAGGCTGAGGAGGATTTAGCAGCTGCATTATCGTGTCGTCGGATAGATATAGCACTCACATTCACAATACAGTTGAACACTGTAGGCAGGGACTGTACCGGAGTGGCCAAAGTAGACCGCTTTGCGCTGTTTGGCCTTGCTGAGCAGCAAGCCTTTTCATGTGCGATCACAGGTAGAATTGGGACACATCTTGAACGGTGGATAGAATGTGCGTTGTGCTATCAAAGTGATTCGTTCAGCCTTGTGGATATACATTGAAAAACACTCACTAAGGCCATGAGGGTGCCCATGCATCTCGAATAAGTCTTTCATCTTCTCATAAACGGTAAAATTGCCGGCCAAGATACTACTCTTCAGGACCCTCCAGCACACCTTCACAGATGCTGGTGACAATTTGCAGGCAATGCTCAGAAAAGCGACAATGCTAGGAGGAAGAAACAAGGGTAGCTCGCGTATGTTGTATGTAGCCGGCTGCGTGAGAATGATATTGTCCTTGAGGCCTGTTGCCAATGAGGCAAACACAAATGCGACTTCTAATGTTAGGCCAGAGATACCTGAAAGACGATCAGCGGCACATTTCAACATGATCATTGTTTGCCGGACGATGCGGATGATGCGGACAAATGGGACAGACGGGACAGACGGGACAGATGGGACAGACGGGACAGAACGGATGGGACGGACGGGACGGGCCGGACGGGTGGGACGGGTGGGACGGGTGGGACAGAACTTTCGAACTTTCGAACTTTCAGGTTCCCTCCAAAATTCAAATACAACTTGGAGACTCAAATACCCAGAGCTCATCCGAATAACTATAGTACTAGGCCTTCTGCCTGGGAGAGACTAAGAAGTCCTCAGGTCTATGCTCTGACCTCGAGATAAGATTTGATTTTGTAAGTACTAACAGACGACAAATGACAAAAGGCAAACGGCTAACGACAAATGACAAATGACAAACGACCAACGGCAAACGATAGATGACAAACATCGAGCAAACAAACTAATGAAAACATTTAAACTGTGTAAGGACAATTAAAACGAGTGTTTGGTAAAACCTGTGGGGGTTTTCGACCGAAACAAGTTTAGACCTCTTTTTCCGAGAATGAAACGGGCAAGAGCGAGCTGAGATACCCAGATTCTAAAGGAGCAAGACGACGCATCTAGCTTCAGCTCGGCCCCGAAATTCAAGGAGGTGCGCTACTCTTACCTAAGTCTCTCATGGAAGCGCATAGCACATGAAAGGTTCTAGAAGCGGGTGATCTTGCAAATAGGGTGCTAAGATCACTGCATGCTTGCGCAGATATTGTTGGAATAGAGAATGAATATACATACTTGCAGTACGCGTCGGCATGTTCTGGCGTCACACTTACAATAGTTACACGCTCGTTATAGTTTTTCCTCAGTTGTTCTTCCATCTCGACTGAGGTATGTATGTTTACACATTCATTATATCTATCTAGTTACTAACTGTACTTAGTTCTGGCTTTCGCCATTAGGCACAGTGTCTAGTTATAAAGTCGTTCTTCCATCTCGACTGAGTTCTGGCTTTCGCCATTAGGTTATGAGCCCTGCGTCTTCGCAGCTTTAAACTCGTTTAATGAACACGACTGGAGCACCCTACTGCCTCCCATTTTCTCACTCGTTTTCGTGGACCCATTCTCCCTGCATTACTTCAATCTCTACTATCTAGGACATCTAATTTCCCTGGATAAGAGAACACCCAAAAAATGTCAAATGCTCTGGCAACCACCACGAGTGCCGTCGCAGCAGCAACATTGCCATCATGGGATATGCCGGTGAATTCTTCCACTTCCTTTCCAAAAGACGACAACGACCATCTCGCAAATGAGGCCGGATACTTTGTCTGGTCCCACCGCATGCAAAAAGCGCTGCAATACTGCGGTTTATGGGACGTCGTTAGTGGAACCTCGCTGAAGCCTTCCCCCGGTGCTGCTGATGAGCAAGTCTGGATCAAGATGGACATTGCGGCATCTGTGCTAATCACGCAATGCATCAAGGGCAAGCTCGTAGTCAAAATCATTCACCTGCCGTCCTCAAAAGCTGCCTGGGATCTTTTTGCGTCTGAGTACAGTCAGATTGGCTCTGGATCTATCATGTATTGGTTCACACATCTCACCCGTCACATGCCTATTGGTGGGGATGTCTCCATGCACATTACGGACTACCAGGAAGCCACCCGATACCTTGTGAATGCAAAATTCTCCATCCCAGAGCCTGTTGCCGCTGCCATTCTCCTCTTGACTCTACCTTCTGACCCCAAAGACCCTGAGTCTTGGGATTATTTTATAAAGGGTGTAAAGATTGATCAAACTACTACCACTCTCTCGAGCATTGTAAACCAGATCCTCGAAGAAAAACGCTGCCAGTCTCCTGCCACCGATACCTCACAACCTGAGACTGCATTAACTGCCAGGGAACGAGAAGCTCATGCTAACGGCACGAAATTCTGCCGAAACTGCAAGCGTGACGGCCATGAGATGGCAAGCTGTTGGGCACCAGGTGGTGGTAAAGAGGGTCAAGGTCCGAGACAGAAACGGAAGAAGGAGAAAGATAAGGAGAAGGCCAATGTAGCTGATGCAGGGGAAGATGAATCTTCTAATATCGTATTTGAGAAATGCTTAGTGGCCCGTGAGGCCATCTTTTCCACTTATTCCTCATGCGAATCTGACCCAATATGATCATCTCCAACTCCCCTGGATGCTGTAGACTCTGTGTACAGTGCATGTACAATGTCGAGCACAGTACCCATCATAGACTCTGGCGCAACATCTCATATTTTTCCTGATCGGTCGATCTTCTCGCACTACCAGCCATCGTCAGGAAAAATCAATGGTTTCGGAGATGGACAGTCATCAATTCAAGGCTGTGGTGATGCTAAAATTCTCGCACACCTACCATCTGGAAACTCTGCTAGCATCAAACTTCAAAACTCATGCCATGTCCCCACTTCATCATGCTCAATTGTCTCAGTATCATGACTTGATGACACCGACTGTTATATTCTGTTTGGTGCCAGTCGTTGTGTTGCATTTGAATCTACGGACAATGGTCAAATGGTTGAAGATTTGCTTGCAAAGTTGAAGAAAGTTCTTTTGACTGCCACCCGAAGACCCGACTGACTTTACTACCTGGATGTGCCATGTTCCCGATCCAAAAAAGCATACCCTGCCTATGTATTACTGACTTTGAAACTGGAGAAATTGCATCAAAAATTAGGGCATTTAAATTATGGCTCTATTCGCTCTCTCGTTCAAAAAGGTCTGGTAACAGGCACAGCACTGACTAAGGAAGAGCTCAAAATTGAGCCACCAGTCTGTGCAGCTTGAATGATGGGCAAAATAACCAGAGCCTCGTTCCAGCCATTGGAGAGCGGTTGAGCGAGCCAGTTTCTTGCCTTTATCCACTCTGATCTTTGGGGGCCTGCTCCTGTTCAATCTATTTCTGGCTCCCGATACATGATCACTTTTACAGATGATTTTTCACGCTGGGTCTGGGCAATTTTTCTTCAACGGAAAAGTGATGCATTTGTAGTATTCACACAGTGGAAGGTACAGGTTGAAAAAGAATCTGGAAAATCTATTCTGAGTGTTCAGGACCAATAACGGAGGCGAATATCTTTCGAACGTCTGGACATCCTATATGAAAGATGAAGGCATTCGCTGGGAAACCACTACTGCCCGCACACCTGAGCAAAATGGTGTCTCCGAACGACTAAACCGCTCAATTATGGATCGTGTCTGAACAATCCTCATAGATGCTGGTCTTCCCTTGAACCTTTGGGCTGAAGCTGTCAACTATATTGTATACACCAAAAATCGCAACCCAACCCGCATCCTATCAGTCACACCCTTCGAAATGCGCCACAATGCTAAACTGGATCTCTCGCACTTGCATTGCTTTGGCTGCATCGCCTATGTACTTGACGATAGTCCTGAACGGTGAAAACTTGATCCAAAAGGAAAGTGCACTCTTTTTGTAGGCTACTCTGAGACACAGAAGGGTTGGCATGTCTATCACCTCGATAAGAGGAAAATTCAGGTCTCTGTGCACATCAAATTCGATGATGACACCGATCTCCGAGACAGCTTCCAGGCTGAGGGGGAGTACCAATTCTCATACAAGTCCTTGAAATCTACAGACTATGATGATGACTCCAGCCAGAAACCTGCAACACCTGAACCACCTCCCGATCCTCCTGCTCCAGCCAATCCAGCTCATCAGCCACCTCCGTCATTACAACCCAATCCTGTTAGGCCTGCACCTCAACCTCGAGCACGATCATCATGAGCTGCTGCTGCCGAAGCTTGAACAAAGATTGCAAAGGCTTCTGCACGACTCCAGAAAGGCTCAGATGAAGAGTCATCGAGTGAAGAAGAAGCAGATAGACCTGCAGATGGACATGTCAATATTGCATCAGGCGAAGAACCGAAAACTTACCATCAAGCTATTTCATCACCAGACCGATCTGAATGGGAAAGCGCGATGGAAAGTGAGCTTAATTCCATTGCGCAACTAGGGACCTACCAGCTTGTTGAGCTCCTGCCCAATCGAGAAGCCATTGACACCAAGTGGGTATACCATATCAAACATGATACCACTGGGAATATCATCCGATACAAAGCTCGACTCGTTGCACAGGGATTCACGCAAAAGCCGGGAGTTGACTTTGATGAGACCTTCGCACCTGTAGCGAAAATCAAGTCGATCCGGTTGCTATGTGCTATTGCAGCAGCACTCAACTGGGAAATCCATGTTATCGACATCGATTCAGCATTCCTGAACAGCAAAATGCCTAGAGATCAGCCAGCATATGTGAAACAACTCATGGGATACAAAGCTGAAGGAAAGGAGTACTTGGTCTGGCTCCTGTTGAAGGCACTCTATGGCCTCAAACAATCAGGATATTTGTGGTACAACAAACTAAAGTCAATCCTTACTGCTAGCGGCTTTGAAGTAAGCCTCGCTGATCCATGTGTCTTCTACTGCATTCGCACAAACGGAACCTCGATAATCGCCTCCCATGTCGACGATCTTGGTCTATATTGTTCATCTATCACAGAAGTCCAACAGCTGAAAGATGGAATTAGCAAACACATCTCATTCAAAGATCAGGGGGAGATAACTCATATTCTCAGCATCGAAGTCATTCGCAACTGCACGGCCTGCACCATCTCATTCTCGCACCACCAATACATCGACTCCATGCTGAAAACTTTTTCCCTTGAAGACGTGAACCCTGTCCAGACGCCTGCTGCTACCAGTATCATCCTAAGCCTCCAAGACTGCCCCACATCAGCTACAGAAACTCTGCATATGCGCAAAATACCCTACCAGAATGCAGTGGGTGCACTAAACCATTGCGCCATCATGACACGCCCAGATATTTCATTAGTCGTTCAAAAGGTTGCTCAATTTGCCACTAATCCAGGGTACAACCATTGGACAGCGGTCAAACGGATCCTGCGCTATCTCAAAGGCATGCGAAACATTGTTCTGACTGTAGGGGGCAAGCTTGAGACACCAGTGCCGCACGTGTATTGTGACGCTGACTTCGCGAACTCACCTGATCACAGATGATCAGTTTCTGGATATGCCATCATGCTTGGAAGTGGCGTCTTCTCCTGGTCCGCCAAGAAACAAACAGTGATGGCACTATCCACAAGTGAAGCAGAGTACTATGCTGGTACTCATGTCGGATGTGAAATCATGTGGCTTCGAGAACTCACCATGGAAATTGGTTTTCCGCCCAGCGGTCCAACATGCCTGCACATAGATAACACATC